TCTGCAAAGGCTAAAATCCCAAAGTTCGGGAATCTCGTGACATCACTACGTAACACTAACGCGCTCCAACACATTTTATTACACGGCTTGGTTGAATATATATCCTTTATTTAAAGGGGACCTATCATGCAAAATGCACTTTTGTACGTCTTTTATACATGAATATGTGTCCCCAGTGTTCCAGGGAACTCACCAAGTGTCAGAAAACACAACCCTCTCTATTTTCCTCCATACCCAAATCTCTAAAAACGGGGCTGCAACGGATCTGATACAGACTGATCCAGATTTGAACATTTCTCTGACGTCAGGACGGAGGAGCTGACCTATCAGGGGAATGAGAGGTTGCCGTGGCATGGTAACAGCATGGTAACACGACGCTCGTAACTCGGCCCCCTCCTTTGCAGGGGGGCGTGGTCAGCTGCAGCGCATGCAAAGACAGGGTGGAGGAGAGCAAAATAGAGCGAAATGAGGCATAGCTAAAATGCATGATCTGTTTTTTGAAAAAGAAAACGTATAAATATACCTTATATAGGTATGGTCCTCCACTATATTATTCAAATATAGCATGATAGGTCCACTTTAACCAGGTAAAAGACTCATTGAGATTAAAATCTCTTTTCCAAGAGTGACCTGGCCAAGAAGGGCAACATGAATGAAATTACAACAGATAAAACACAGACAAGACAGGCAGACAAATACAGCTGTAAAACACAAATAAAATGGCACATTAGCCCGTCAATATGCGAAATAAAACAAACTGTTAAAAATCATTCAAAACTGGCAAAATTGAAAACGATTTTTGGATATACGAGCACTCACATCTACCAATGGTGTCGTGTTCTCTGTCCTTTAAGATGGACCTGAATTCCCCCATAGAGAGGCGAAGTCCCTCCCTTTCCGGGGGAGCTCCATGGGACCTTATTTCGGAAAAATTATGTATTGAAGTCAATGGAGAGAGAAAGATTATCTTTCGATCCCGTTTGAATTGTGCCACGAATTACACATATGATGTTTGTCAATTTCAAGTCAAACAAATAAAAATGTGTCGTAAAACTGAAGTAACACTTTTTTTTGTGTGAAACCGCTCAATGAACTACATCTCCCGTCTCGCACCACACACCAAGACGGCCGTCACGTTGGCACATTTCACTTCTTTCTTTCAGAATGAGGTGAAAAGTATTAAAAGAGGTGAAAATCACGTCTGGGCATGTTGAGAGCTGTACATACACACAAGGGGAGTTAGTCGGTTCCGTAAGAGCCAGCATGCGGGACCTGGTTTACAAGGTTTCAGTGAGTAACACGAGTGTATTGTTAATGACATTCTGGGATTTGTAGTCTTTCTAGTAGCATATTTAAAAGCTGTTTTGTTCTTACATTAGGAACCAGCATCTGATTAAAATCTTGGGAGCGCAGGCCATATAGACTTTCTCTTTGTCACATATATGTGCAAATGTAGGAGGGAACCAACCCAAGCAGAGATTTATAAATAAAACCCAACCAATGGGAAAGCCTGCGAGTAGACAAAGATGGCCAATTAGCAGCAGCATATAAAGTGCAATGGTGTACTCGATATCCACATCCAGTAATAAAACGTAAGGCTCAATGGTACACAGTATCCAAGCTCTTTAGGCACTGGTCAGAGGCATTCATGTGTAGCAGATCACCATCATCTAATACAGGTAAAAACGTTGCAGATATCAAATGTTTCCTTGTCTGAAAAGAGAAACAGGATTTATTTCTGTAAAAGAAACCTAATTTGATATACTCGAATTTAGAATACTCGATTCTGATTGGTCAATTCGGACATTTCAGAGGTTATTAATACTCGATAACACACCGCTGCTAAGCAAAATAATGACTGTTGCTAAGGAGGATCAAGGGACAGAAGGACATAGGTTAAAAGACAGAGTGTTGGACGTAAGAGAAATCATCATAAGTTTAGTTTAGCTTTTCACTAGCATTGTTTGCCTGTAAAAGGAACTGTAAGGAATTACAGTTATGTTTGGTATCCTGAATACCTTATCCCATCACATGTAATCTGTTACTCCCCAAACCCTTTGTCTCTATCTGAGTTGCTGCTGTCCTTCCTCGCTGCCGTCATAACTCTCTCACTCATTTCCCCTCTGCATCCCCATTATGAAAACGCTCTATAAATAAGTCGGAGAAAGAGAGAGAGATGGTCAAGTAGAACGTGGGAGGGAGGTGAAAGGATGGAGGGACGGACAGCAAGCGGCTGTAAGTGCTAAACTAGGCCAACGAGGGGTGAGGGAGGGGGGCGGGTATCATATCAAAGTCCTGAGAGTCGCTCCGAGCGCTTCTGCCGTCAATCACTTAATCAATTTCGACGTCAGTCAGTCAGTTTGTGTGCGTCTCGGGTGTGTGTGTCAGGCATCTCAGTCCAGACGGTTTGTCAGTCAGACAGAGTTGGCGTTGTTTCCTGCTTTCTGCCCTTCCTCTCTGAATCTAAGAACTGAACGTGCCTTCAGTTGTCAGGTGTGATGAAAGCAGTTAAGGTGTGCCTTTTGATCAGATAGAAGTAAGGAGATCCAACGTGTAACAGAGTTCAAAGGAGATTATGGAGAGGACGTATTTTGTTCATTTTCAGCTTCATATCAGTATGTAGTGTCTCTACTTTAAAGAGTCCTCTCCTGCTGATGTTCAGGTGTATATCAGTATGTAGTGTCTCTACTTTAAAGAGTCCTCTCCTGCTGATGTTCAGGTGTATATCAGTATGTAGTGTCTCTACTTTAAAGAGTCCTCTCCTGCTGATGTTCAGGTGTATATCAGTATGTAGTGTCTCTACTTTAAAGAGTCCTCTCCTGCTGATGTTCAGGTGTATATCAGTATGTAGTGTCTCTACTTTAAAGAGTCCTCTCCTGCTGATGTTCAGGTGTATATCAGTATGTAGTGTCTCTACTTTAAAGAGTCCTCTCCTGCTGATGTTCAGGTGTATATCAGTATGTAGTGTCTCTACTTTAAAGAGTCCTCTCCTGCTGATGTTCAGGTGTATATCAGTATGTAGTGTCTCTACTTTAAAGAGTCCTCTCCTGCTGATGTTCAGGTGTATATCAGTATGTAGTGTCTCTACTTTAAAGAGTCCTCTCCTGCTGATGTTCAGGTGTATATCAGTATGTAGTGTCTCTACTTTAAAGAGTCCTCTCCTGCTGATGTTCAGGTGTATATCAGTATGTAGTGTCTCTACTTTAAAGAGTTCTCTCCTGCTGATGTTCAGGTGTATATCAGTATGTAGTGTCTCTACTGGGACATGTCTCCATGCTTTAATGTTCAAAATGCTCTTTATTTTTCTCATACTGCCTGTGCTACAGCACCTCTTTTCACCCTCTGTCTGAAACCAGAGCCCAGTCTGCTCTGATTGGTTAGCTGGCCGGCTCTGTTGTGATTGGTCAACCGCTTAGAGATGTCCCGCCCCTTAGCCCCTTATCACCTACAATGTGTTGGAGCGCTAGCCAATAAGAGCCCGAGTGTTACATATTGATGGCATCATGTTCTGGACATTTTTAGATTTTAGCCTTTGCAGACCATTTACATGCACTGAAACCTATAGAACGCACCACAACACACACTATAAGGCCTCTTTAAGTGTAGTCAAAAAAAGATTGAGGCCCTTCAGATTTTCCCCAGGAAGGGTCCATATTAGACTTCCATAACAAAACCTAATATTGAATCCATTCACTTTACCCAAAGACCCCAAAAGTTAATATATATATATACATAAGATACAATTCACCACACTCTCGTTTTCGCATTCCTGCCAATACTTCCTCCCCCCCTCTCTCCTCTCCCCTCCTCCCCTCTCTCCTCTCCCCTTGTCAGGACGCCAGCCTCTCATCTGGAGGGAGAGTTTATATCCTCCATAATACATACCATAATGCTGCTTCAGAACGTTCCACATGAATTATTGATCCGCGCGGTAAACTATACGCCATCGCAACATGTATCTGTGTGTGTGCGTTTATGCACTATTTATGTGTGTCAAGTGTGACCTCTTCTCTCATCTGTGTGTGTGTGCTTCCTTCCCCTACCCACAATGCCCCATTTCTGCGGACTGACAGTGATATGCACTGATTCATATGATGCATGTAGTCCCTCAGGAATTCACTTTATTCAATCAATGTTGCATGGAGCGATGTAAACCTCCATCTCCTTCTCTCCATCTCCCCCACAATAAATAGTATTTTCTTTTCATTGTACACTATTTAATTTTACATTATATTCTTGGTTATCTTATTATATCTTACATGTGTATAGACTCATGCATTTATTTGGTCACTTACAACATTCTCTGCAACATTTATTGTATAACGTTGACTTCCCCTGCTTCACTGCACATTTTATTACTGCTCTGTTTTCTTTTAAATGTGTTTAATTGTTTTATGTGTTATATGTAAGGGCTGCACACTAACCCACCAACTTCAGCAACAACAACGTAACTTAAGATTTAACGGCAGCTCTGATTGATGTTTACTGTAACTGTTATAGTCCTTAAACCCTACAGAGCCCATACCGTGTTCGTGTTAGTGTTTACTTCCTGTCTGTCTTCTTCTGGTGATTTCTCTGACGTCCAGTCTTTTAACCTCTTTCCTTCTCTCCCTTGATCCTGCTTAGCAACGGTCATTATTTTGCTTAGCAGCGGTGTGTTATCGAGTATTAATAACCTCTGAAATGTCCACTGAACTTTTGAAAGAACATCCATAACTTTCATCTGTTTGCAACTTATATATATCAATATTCCAATTACTTGTATATAGACTATTCTGCACTATTTCTATTATATTTTATTTTATTTACTGTTTTATTGTGTTGCACTGTTGGAGGAGCCTGTGACCTAAGCTTTTCATTGTCATAACTACACTGTAGCTATGTACACATGACAATAAAAGCCTTGAATCTTAAAAAAATCTTGAAAATGGACCAATCAGAATCGAGTATTCAACTGAGCTAAGTTTCTTTATCAAATCTTTTTCTCCCTCTCTCTCCAGGTATTACTCTCCCACTCCTCCACCATGCCTGTTTACGGCTGCCGCACCCCCTCCTCACCCGGGGGTCGATCCAGTCCCTCCACCCCCTCCTCCACCACGACGACCCCTTCAGTCGCCCAGCACCGAGAGAGGCACATCGGACCCTCCTCACCTCCTCCCCCGCCTCCATCGCTCCACCGCCCCCCCTCCCACTGCCTCTCTCTCCTCCTCCTGCTGCTCTGCCTCCTCCACCTGCCGCCGGCCTGCCACTCCCGGAGAGAGAAGGGAGGAGGTGGAGGGGGAGGAGGAGGAGGAGGAGGAGGGGGAGGAGGTGGTGGTGGCAGCCATTACGTGCCAATCCCCCAGCCCCCTCCCCACCACATGGCGCTGCCCAACATCCTGCGTGGCCTCAGCATCGCCGTGGTGCTCGTGGGGAACTCTAGCGAGATGGCGCTGGCTGGAGGGCGGGAAAAAGAAGACTTCCTCCACATGGCGCCCAACGTGGAGGTGCTGACGATGAACGAGACGGACCCCAAGAGCATCATCAAGAGCATCTGCGACCTGATGACGGAGCACTGGCTGCAGGGCGTGGTGTTCGGGGACGACACCGACCAGGAGGCCATCGCACAAATCCTCGACTTCATTTCGGCCCAGACGCACATCCCCATCCTGGGAGTCCGCGGGGGGTCGTCCATGATCATGGCTGCCAAGGTAAGACGGTCTTACTTTGAAAACGGCAGTGAAAAAACTGAACCGTTGACTTTAATTAAATGTATTACGTCAATATATTTCACATGACTGTATTAGGTATGTTGAAAGCAATGATGGTAACCCTTTATCGGGCGAGGAACCATATTTGGTCACTTCCTCACACACCAAACATGGCCTCCCCCCCGCGACTCAGTGAGGTCGAGAAGCATGTGGTTTTTCTCCCAGCCAATCAGCGAAGATGCCTCTACGCCACAGAGCGCGCCATTGGGGAATTTGACCAATCAGCAGAGGCCTGAAACGTGTTAGGGTTAGGGTTAACCCTGATATTGAAAAGGGGAAAACTCTGCATTAAATCTGTACAAGTTGTCATAAAATATCCAATCTGCATTATGGGACACCGACAGAAAGGCAAACAAATCAATGTATAAATGGGGGGTTCAACACAATTCATAAAAAAAGTTATAAAAGGAGTGTCAAAAAAACACCTCACCATTTCAAGGTCTTAAAATTAAATGCTTAAATAAAGGAAGTGTGTGTGGGTGTTTAAAACGGACCTCGCTGTCGTCAATCCTGGCTGTATCTGTCACTCACGGAGAGATGACGTCACTGCGCTGGGTTTTTTCCATCAAAGAAAGATATTTTTAAAGACGGCTGCTCGGCTTTAAGTGCTGTTCATTTTCTAAATGGTATCAGTGTTTTGGCATACGCTCTCTCTTTTTATTTTCTCCCTTGTTTTGTCTCAAATTAGTGGAGTTTAACAGGGTCTGCTTGTTAGGCTCAGCAGGGCTGTGCTTTGTGTTTACGGCCAAAAGAAAACCCTGTTACAGGTTCAGACTCACTAGAAAGTGCTTAAAAGCCAGACAATGTGCTTTAAACCTGCCCTGCGTATCTAAAACCTCCTGCTTTGCTACAGAGGATTTCTCTTTTCATCCCCTACCGACATCCAGAGATGGCAAAAGTACACACATCCTTTACTCAAGTAGAAGTACAGATACTCGTGTTTAAAAATACTCTGGTAAAAGTACTGACTAAACTTCTTTACTCAAGTAAAAGTAAAGAGGGCTTTGAAATGTACTTCAGTAAAAAGTACCCATAACTAGCAGCTGTTTTAAAGAGTACCTGACCTCCCTTTATATTAATAGAACAATAATGTCATTGTTAGCTAATGAATGTTTCCATGCTGAACAACGGCAACATGACAACGTTTTCATTGGTCCCTCTTCTTTAGAGAAGACCAGGAAATGATGGATACACGGATCGTGTTCAAATCAATAGGCACGCAATGACTCTAAATAATAATGATCACGCCACCAAACACACATTCAAACTAAAGGAACCAGCCTGTTTGGAAAATGTGAGAAGTAGAAAGTACAGGTATTTGTGTTCAACATGTAAGAAGTAGAAAGTACAGGTATTTGTGTTCAAAATGTAAGAAGTAGAAAGTACAGGTATTTGTGTTCAACATGTAACAAGTAGAAAGTACAGGTATTTGGGTTCAAAATGTAAGAAGTAGAAAGTACAGGTATTTGGGTTCAAAATGTAAGAAGTAGAAAGTACAGGTATTTGTGTTCAAAATGTAAGAAGTAGAAAGTACAGGTATTTGGGTTCAAAATGTAAGAAGTAGAAAGTACAGGTATTTGGGTTCAAAATGTAAGAAGTAAAAGTAAAAAGTCGTCAGAAAAATAAGAAGTGGAGTAAAGTACTGATACCAGAAACATGTACTTAAGTACAGTAACAAAGTATTTGTACTCCACTACTTCCCACCTTTGCCGACATCCTACGGACAGACAGACAGACAGACAGACACACAAACACACACAAACACACACAGACAGACACAGACAGACACACAAACAGACAGACAGACAGACAGACACACAAACACGGACGGACGGACAGACAGACAGACACACAAACACACACAGACAGACACAGGCAGACACAGACAGACACAGACAGACACACAAACAGACAGACAGACAGACAGACACACAAACACGGACGGACGGACAGCCAGACAGACACACAAACACACACAGACACACACAGACACACACAGACAGACACAGACAGACACACAAACAGACAGACAGACAGACAGACACACACACAGACAGACACAGACAGACACACAAACAGACAGACAGACAGACAGACAGACAGACAAAGTGCCAACAGTGCGCTGCCAGTGACGGATCAGCTGGAGATGTCACCAGAACAGAGAGCTAGATCTGCGTCTATTTACAAGGCCTCGCCTAATGGGATAAAGCAATCTGCTGCCGCTTTATCTGCAACCGCCTGGGAATCTGGGCCTGGACCCCATTCCACAAAAACAGCTCATTGTATTTTGAGCATAAATATAGTAAATATAGGGCTGCCTTAACACGTTGAACAAAAGAAAAAGTGCCATGTTTGACTTCGTCTTCCTTCAGTAGTTCCAGCCATGAATCGCAGGGCGGTGAAAAGGCAAAGAAAAGAAGAGCCATGTGCTAGCAAGTTTCTTGAAATTGCACGGGAGTGGGAGATAAGACAGGATCACCACTGTAGGAACAGATAGTGTTGCAGTGTTTTAGCAGCAGAGATTATTTGTCCTGAGTAGCACACATTATACAGAGGGCAATCACAATATGAATACATATGAGCAAATACCCTGTTTAGCGCACATTATACAGAGGGCAATCACAGTTTGATTACCACTATACGAACATGTGTGTGGGGCACATTATACAGAGGGCAATCACAATATGAATACTTCCATATGAGCATATATGCACTTTGTAGCACACATTATACAGAGGGTGATCCTCTGAACCGCTCTTTGTGACAGTGGCTTTGTAGACGCTTTAGCTAAGTATTGGATTATTGGCGGACTTGGTGCCAATAATTACAAAAAATCTTCTTATAATAAAGTAAAAAACCCTTTGATTTCTACGGAGCCCTGGAGGGTTCATAGAGAGAAAAATAAATAAAACAAGGCCACGCTTCATTAACTTGTGCGCGCGATATACTTTCTCGTTCGCACGAGATACTTACTTATGGTAAAACACATCGAACTGCCCGATTTTTACGCCATATTATTAGTTTTATGAAGAATATGTCCGGTCGCCAGGGTGTGTGTGTGTGTGTGTGTGTGTGTGTGTGTGTGTGTGTGTGTGTGTGTGTGTGTGTGTGTGTGTGTGTGTGTGTGTGTGTGTGTGTGTGTGTGTGTGTGTGTGTGTGTGTGTGTGTGTGTGTGTGTGTGTGTGTGTGTGTGTGTGTGTGTGTGTGTGTGTGTGTGTGTGTGTGTGTGTGTACAAGGATATAACGAGAAAGTATAGTAATAGTATTTTTTCTCTCATACAATAGTCTTTTACAACACCACACGTGTATTTGTTTTATCTCCCCCCAAGTGACCTAAGAATTTCATTGTCAGAACTACACTGTGTACAAATGACAATAAAAGCTTTGAACCTTGAATAGACAATGAACCTTTGACACCTCTGATTAAATATTCATGCAAAATGTTATATGCCTTTCATGCAGGGAAAGTGAAACCCTTTTATTAAAACACTGATATTTTATTCTGATGTGGAGCTCTTCCTTGAGGCTGTTTGATCCCCACAGAGTCTCAGTGTTTCCCCTGCAGTCTCTCTGCTGACCTGCTGGTGTCAACAGGTCTCAGACCAGCAGAGACTCGAGTCGCTGTGACACGACGAGGCCAGCGGCCGCACTGTAGCTCTTCTGTCTGTTGCTTCTCATTAGAGCACTACAGAGAGAAGTGGCAGGGAACAGTCCAGCCCCATTTCAAACTGCTGTCTTACCATCCTCACTACAACCTCACTACAACCTCACTACAACCACACTGCAACCACACTGCAACCACACTACAACCTACAACCACACTACAACCTCACTACAACCTCACTACAACCTACAACCTCACTACAACCTCACTACAACCTACAACCTCACTACAACCACACTACAACCTCACTACAACCTCACTACAACCTCACTACAACCTCACTACAACCTCACTACAACCTACAACCTCACTACAACCTCACTACAACCTCACTACAACCACACTACAACCTCACTACAACCTCACTACAACCTCACTACAACCTCACTACAACCTACAACCTCACTACAACCTCACTACAACCTCACTACAACCTCACTACAACCACTGTACACACATTCTCGCTACTTTCCACAATGTCTGCACACATGTGGCTTTAACCCCCAACCCCCACTTACCATGTGTTTTAAGATACATAGATAGATAGATAGATGGATGGATAGATGGATGGATAGATGGATGGATGGATGATGGATGGATGGATGGATGGATGATGGATGGATGGATGGATGGATAGATAGATGGATGGATGGATGGATGGATGGATAGATGGATGGATGGATAGATGGATGGATGGATGGATGGATGGATGGATGGATGGATGGATGGATAGGTACTTTATTGATCCCAATTTGGGACATTTTTGCATTGCATCAGCATAAAAAAACAAGGCAATAAGATAAATTAAGACCCAAGAAATAAACAGTCCAAAATATTTCTGAAATTTCAAAAAAATAAATGAGTGGGTTATCTGATGTACATTGTTTGTGTTCATCCCTTTGCCTATTTTACCCTTTGTTTTCCATAGAGTCATATTTATCACATGCTCCATATGTGCTGATAGGCTTAGCATTTGCCTTGAGTTGAGTTTGTCTCATGTGCTCTGCCAAAACGTTGAAGGACTTTGATGTGCATCTTGTGTATGAAAAGCTTTATTATTATAGAGTGGTGCAGTGATGATGTATTTCTGTAGACCGACTCCAAAGTTAGCGTCTCAAGGGCTCCCTCGACAAAAATCGATGCGATTTCCCCGATGGGTTTCGGTAGATTGCAGAATCTGTGGCAAACACAGGTTTATGATACTTACAGGTTTTGTTCAGCAGGATAATCTCCATATATTAACACATACATGCAATCTCCAGAAGTAAAAAGCTAA